TCCATACAATCAAATGCTTTTGAAGTCAATAAAACACAAATAAATATCTTTCTGGTATTCTTTGCTTTGGGCCAAGATCCATCTGACATCAGCGATGATATCCCTTGTTCCATGTCCTCTTCTGAATCCAGCTTGCACCTCTGGAAGTTCTCTGTCAATATACTGCTGCAACTGTTTTTGAATTATCTTCAGCAAGAATTTACTTGTGTGTGATATTAATGATATTGTTAGATAATTTCCACATTCTGTGGGATCAACTTTTCCTTGGAATGGGTACAAATATGAGTCTCTTCCAGTCAGTTGACCAGGTAGCTGTCTTCCAAATCTCCTGGCATAGCCGAGTGATTGCCTCCAGCAGGCCATCTGTTTGTTGAAACATCTCGGTGGGTATTCTGTCAATTCCTGGAGCCTTGTTGTTTGCCAATTCCTTCAGTGTAGCTTCTACTTCTCCTTGATCATATGCCATCTCCTGATGTATGAACATCAACCAATTCTTTTTGGTACAGTGACTCTGTGTATTCCTTCCATCTTTTTTGTTTTGATGTGTCCTACATCATTAAATATTTTGCCAATAAACAAACAAACAAGCAAAAACAAACTCACTGACATTGAGTTGATCCCAACTCACAGTGCACCCTCCTTGTGTTTCTCATGTTACCGGTATCTCTATGGAAGTAGATTGCCCAATTTTCCTTCTGAGGACTGGCTGGTGGGTTTGAACCACCAGCCTTCTGGTTAGCAGCCAAATGCCTTAGGCACTACACCACCAAACTTTCTATATTGCAACTGGAAGCTTGAATTTTTTCTTTAGTTCTTTCAGCTTGAGAAATGCCGAGTGTGTTTTTTCCTTTTGTTTTTCTAACTCCAGGTCTTTGTATACTTCATTGTAATAACTGACTTTTTCTGCTCCTGTTGCTCTTTGAAATCTTCTGTTCAGCTTTTTTTGTCTTGTCATTTCTTCCATTTGCTTTTGCTTCTCTCTGTTGAAAAGCAAGTTTCAGAGTCTCTTCTTATATTCATTTTGGTCTTTTCTTCTTTTCTGTCTTTTTAGATCTTTTGCTTTCTTCATGGATGATGTTCTTGATCTCACCACACAATTCCTCTGGTTTTCAGTCATTGGTGTTCAATGCATCAAATTTATTCTTTATATGGTCTCTAAATTCAGGAGGGATAAAATCAAGGTCATATTTGGCTCTCATGGATGTCTTTTAATTGTCTTCAGCCTCAACTTGAACTTGTATATGAGCAGGTGATGGTCTGTTCCACAGTCAGCTCCTGGCCTTGTTTTGGCTGAAGATATTGAGCTTTTCCATCGCCTCTTGCCACAGATATAGTTGATCTGATTCCTGTGTACTCAATCTGGCGAAGTCCATGTGTATAGCTGTTGTTTGTATTATTGAAAATGGTATTTGCAATGATCAAGTCATTGGTCTTGCAAAATTCTATCATGTGATCTCCAGCATTATTTCTATCACCAAGGACATATTTTCCAACTACCGGTGATTCTTCTTTGTTTCCAACTTTTGCATTCCAATCTGCAGTAATAATCCACACATCTTGATTGTGTATTTGTTCAATTTCAGACCACAGAAGTTGGTAGAAATCTTCAATTTCCTCCTCTTTTGCTTTGGTGGTTGATGTGTAAATCTGAGTAAGAGTAGTATTGCCTGGTCTTTCTTGTAGGTGTATGGATATTATCCTATCACTGAACGTATTGTACTTCAGGATAGATCTGGAAAAATTCTTCATGACTATGATTGACAGACACACCATTCCTCTTTGTCATTTCCAGCATAGCAGATTATATGGTTTTCTGATTCAAAATGGCCCAAACCAGTTCATTTCAGCTCACTAATGACTAGGATATTGATCCTTATACGTTCAATTTCATTTTTGACAACTTCCAAGTTTCCTAGATTCAGACTTTGTACATTCCATGTTCCAATTATTAATGGATATTTGCAGCTGTTTCTTCTTATTTTGAGTCATGCCACATCAGCAAATGTAGGTCCCAAACGCTTTACTCCATCTACATCATTAAGGTCAGCTTTACTCTGAGGAGGCAGCTCTTCCCCAGGCATTTTTTGAGTGCCTTCTGACTTGACATGCTCATCTTCCAGCACTCTATTGGACAATGTTTCAGGGCTGTGTAAGCTTTTTCAATAATATATCAGACAGTGTTTCACTGCTATTCATAAAGTATTCGCTGACAATTCTCTGAGAAGTGGATGACCCCGTCCTTCTTCCGAGTCTGTCTTTCTTAGTCTGGAAGCTCTGCTAAAACCTGTCTGCCATGGGTGATCCTGCTGGTAGTTGAAATACTGGTGGCATAGCCTCCAGCCTCACAGTAACAAGAAGCCACCATAGCATGATGAACTGACAGATGATTGGTGGGTACTTTCTGTATTCTTCTCCAACTCTAAAGCATCAACTCTTCTTCAGTCTTCCTTATTCATTGCCCAGCTTTCACATGCATATGAGGTGAATAAAAATACTATGGGTTGGGTTAGGCACACCTTACATTTCAAAGAGAAATCTTTGCTTTTCGACACTTAAGGTCTTTTGGAGCAGATTTGCCCTGTGCAATACAACATCTGATTTCTTGACTTGCTTCCATTGGTGTTGATCGTGTATCCAATTAATATGAAATCTTTGAGAACTTCAATATTTTCTTCATTTATCACGATGCTGCTTATTGGTCAAGTTGTGAGTATTTTTGTTTTCTTTATGTTGAGATGTAATTCATATTGCTGACTATGTTCTTCAATTTTCACCAGTAAGTCCTTCAAGTCATCTTCCCTTCCAGCAAGCAAGGTTGTGTCATATGCATACTGCAGGGTATTAATGAGTCTTTTTCCAATGTTGATGCCGTGTTCTTCTTCATATAGTCCAGCTTCTCAGATTATTTGCTCAACATATAGATTGCATAAATATGATGAAAGGATACAACCCTGACCCATAGCCTTCCTGATTTTAAACCACAGTGTCTCCTTGTTCTGTTCGAAAGACAGCTTCTTGGTCTATGTACACATTCCTCATTTAAGGTGTTACAATGCTGCAAAAGATACCATTTTACTTACTGTTGGCAGTATTTTCAGAAATGTGCATAACTCCCTATAAGACTGTAGATGCTAAGAGGGTTCAGGGCTCTTACTGTATGGCCACCATACAGCTCTAAAAGTCCTAGAGCTAAGAAATAGCATCATCAACTAACAAGAGTAAAGGCTTCACTTGACCCACAGGCAAGTTAGTTGCTCTCATTTTTTTGAAAGGCAATTCACTATTTGTATTCATCTAAATAACTTAAAATTTATTACATAAAAGCCAAGACTGTAAACACAGTGAGAGATAAACTATAAAACACAATTCCTGTCATCAAGAGGCTACACTATAGTGGAAGACAAAAGGATTATGCATGCACCAAAAGACATCCAACTTTGCAAAATAGTAAATGACAAATGCCAGATGGTGCTACCCATCAACATTGCTAAAATGTTCATGAAATGAGGAGATTTTGTTAAGTTTTCCTTGAATTTTTAGAAGAGTAACACTTTATTTATTTTATAAATAAAGTCAGTAAAGGCAAAACATGTATGGGCATAGAAACCATAGATGATTCAAAAAACATATTTTTGGAATACTATGGAATAGGCCCTGCATTAGGGTGTTGTCTTTTCTGCTTTAACTGTTCTGAAACTATGATCATTTGCCTTTCATGTTTGATAACTGCTGAAAGCTCTGGTAGCACAGTGCCTAAAGCACTTGACTGCTAACTAGAAGTCTGGCAGTTCATACCCACCAGCCACTCCTCGGAAGGAAGATGGGACAATCTACTTTCATATTGACACTGCCTTGGAAACCCAAGGAGGAGTTGCTGAGTCGGGTCTGACTTGATGGCACATAAAAACAACAACAACACAATTGTAAATCAGTGAAATAGTAGAGATAATAATGAAAAAGAAAAATTAAATTTCATAAAAGGAGCTCTGGTGGCATAATGCCTAAGGCATATGACTGCTAACCAGAAGGCTGGCAGTTCAAACCCATGAGCAACTCCTTGGAAGGAAGGTTGGGCAATCTAATTCCATAGAAATACTGCCTCAGAAACCCAAGAAGGGGTTGCTGTAGGTCAGAATTGACTCAACAGCAGTGAGTTAGTTTAGTTTCTCAGAGACTACAAAATGGTGACTCTCATACTACCTTATATGATTGCTGTAAAGATTAAATAAGTGAAAAACATATTAAATTGTTAGAAATTGTTCTAGGCATAGCTATTATTATCAGCAGTAATACATAAAGCTAAACCCACTGCCATGAAGTTGATTCTGACTCATAGCAACCTCCCCTGGGTTTCCAAGGCCTTAAATCTTTACAGAAGTAGATTGCCTCATCTTCCAGCCATGTAGCAACTGACTGGCTTGCACCACCAACCTTCTGGTTAGGAGCCAAATGCCTTACCCATTATGCCACCAGAAGTTCTTAGTATTGCTAAGCACTAGCTAAATTTTGAGAAATTATTTCTATAATTGTATCTTGGGCCAGAAATATCAATGAACATAGCCTTTAACATATTCCTTCAAAAAAATTATTGTAGTAAAATACATATAACATGAAATTTACTATTTTAACCATTTCAGTGCCATTAATTAAATTCACTTGGTTAAGACATTTGGCTGCTAACCAAACGGTCAGTGGTTTGAACCCACCAGCCACTCCATGGAAGAAAGATGAGGGAGTCTGCTCCTATAAAGATTTATAATCTTGGAAACCCAATGGGCATTGCTATGAGTCAGAATTGACTTGATGGCAGTGAGTTTGGTTTCTGGTTTGGTTGTTCCACAATCATTTAATACACACTAGCAATGAAGAAGATTATGCCTTTGGGCATTAGTTAGTATAGATGTAATTGCTGAGAATAAAAAGGCAAGACAAAATTCTTGTTCTTTAATACCTTCATTTCCCCCTCTGCTAACCAAGATCTCGTAGGGGGAGGAACTTACAGTTCTGCGGTGTACTGAGGGATGTGGTCTGGGATTTTGTTGAGTTTTTGATTGGAGCAATCTACGGTGGTCCCTTCACAGCGGCACTTTTCAGGGCAGGCCAAATCTGCAAAGCAGTCTCCACTTAATTTTGATCGATAATCTTCTGTACCTATTGAGGATTTAAGCCAAAAGAAAAGATACTGAGTCTAAAGATTAGACTACTTATTAATTTGTAGGAAGAAAAAAGTAAGATAACTATAGATTATGCAGCAGGGAGACAACTTGGGGAATTTTGGTCAATGGATGTCAGGAGTGGGTTAAAACAAGGGCTTAGAATTTGCTGGGAAAAAAAAAGTGACTAGTTTCACAAGACAGGAAGACATTAATAAAGTTGAGCTTTTCACAGCTGTACTTTCTGCTGATCCAGTTATGAGCCATTCCTGCTTATTTCACAGCTAATCACACAATGGCTACCAATTGTTTAAAAAGTTTATTTTTCTCTCTGAGTCAAGATTTTAAAACGTTTTCTCTAATAAACATATTCCTATATCATCATTTTTAAATCAGGGCTTTCAAGGCAAATAGATGTCTCCAGGTTTTTCGATTCTTTATGTTCTTTTGTAATTCTCTCCCTCTCACATAATCTTCCGGAATCTCTAAAAAGCCCTCTTTTTTCATTTTGTTTTTGTAAAAAGAGACAAGTAAATCCTGATTTAAGCCTCAGCAGCTTGCCATGCTGTAGAAAGCTGCGTGACGTTCCATGGTGCTTGACGGAACCATGTTTTACTCATACCTCGCAACCACATGGTTAGATCAAGCACAACAGAAAATCTCGCTATATAATCACTACGCCATCCACTAGGCCAAGGGAAAGACCAAGAGGAAAGATGAAGGGAAGTAGGAGAAAAGCTACAGACATTCTGGAAATGTCATACTGTTCACATGACATGCATTCTCCCCGCAGAAGGTTTATGACCACAGTAAGAGTATTACTACCGAAGATTTCCTGGAAACACAAAGAAGGGGCTATATGGAATGGTGCCTCCATTGTTCCTCAGAACTGCAGAATGGAAACAACAGCTTTCGGGAACAACATCAGGAAGAAGTTGAAGGTCAGCTACAAGGACAACAGAGAAGCTCGAAAGACCTGTGGATTCTTCTTGGGAAAAAGGTGCAAATGGCTAAGACTAGAAGAAGGTACATCAGGATTGAAAAGGGAGGACATCATGTTTTAGATCAGACACTTTTACTTACAGCCAAAATGGTGAATTCCTGCAAAAGTAAAGGTCACCAACGAAAGAAAGACAGAGTAATCCCAATTAAGATGAATACATATATACATAGCTAACTAGGCTTGCTTCTTTCTTTCCCGGGGCAATTTCAGGGGACTAGTATGGTGTGCTAGGAGTTTTCATGCTTTGTGAGATTTTATAATTAGATTTGAAGCACAGCAGTCTTCCAAGAATAGCAATGACATAAAAGATGGATATAACAAATTGACTTCTTGAGGATTCCTTTAAAGCTGATCTCTCTGCAAAACAGATTTTCTTTTGCGTTATTACTGTGCATGCAACCTATAATGCTACGTAGAATGGGGTTAAGCAAGTAAACCAAACCAAGCCCATTTCCATCAAGTTGGATCCGATTCATAGCAACTCTATGGGACAAAGAAGAACCGGCCCAGAGGGTTTCCAAGGTTGTAAATTTTTGTGGATGCAGACTGCCTCATCTTTCTCCTGAGGAGGAGCTGTTGGGAACAACTGACCTTTTGGTTAGTAGCCAAATGCTTTAAGCACTGTGCCACCAGAGCTCCATGGTAGACAAGGAGACGTGTAAAATTAAATTTAAGAAGAGTAACCATAGAGATCTCCAAGGATGATTACTAGTGCATTTGCATTAATACTTAGGTTGTGGCTCACATACTATTCAGTGATCTTTTCAACTTATAAATAATGTCACTTAGTGGCCATGGAATCAGAATCTCAGTAGAAGTCTGCCACCCTGAATGTAATAGTTCGGCTACATCTGTCAATGTGTGTATTGGTAGTGATTGGGGATGTTCGGTATTGGTTTTAAGTTATAGTCTCCAAAGTGAAATGAGGTCATGGTGGTGGGGGCGTTAGTTGCCACTGAGTCGATTCTGACTCATGGCTACCCCAAGTGTGTAGAGGAGACCAGCTCCATAGGGTTTTTAAGGCTATAACCTTTCAGAAGACGACTACACCTCTGATTGCGTTCCAATTGCTAACCTTTTTTGGCTAATAGTGGAGTGCTTAACCTTTTCTGCCATCCAGGGACTTCTTGAAATGAGGGCATCCTGGTAACAAAGTTCAAGTGACAGGTATGATAAACATCTTACATTTAAAATAAACTCCATTCAATGCAATGCAAATAATGCTTATTTTTATAATGGTTCCTTTTGTAGGCTTGATTTTTAATTAAAAATTTGGTTAAAAGGGAGCCCTGGGACCTGGCTGCTGTTAATACTATTTAAACTTATAAAAACTGAATTGTCAGAAATGCAAAGTTAAGCTGGGATATCTAATATAGAGGTATCTTGTAAAATCTCTTATTTTGGGAGCTGTCAGTATGATGGCAAGACTGTATTCAAATTTTGAATGTATGAATACAACCTATTTGTAATTTACTTGGTGAGTTCAAAATATTAATTGCTACAGAATTAATAAATAATATTTAATATGAATAGTTTGAACAGTTTGGGAACTATGGTAATTTGGGGACTAAAATTACATTAATGTTCTATTGTATAAGTGGTGTGATATTTAGAATGTGTTTTATTCAGGCTAAGTAATACCTATCAGATGATTTTCTATTTAACAATTGGGTAAAATCAATGAATTTTAGTTATTGTTTATGAAGGTCAATCAATGGCTCTTTTCAATGTCTTACTTCTCATGCAACCAGCAAAATATATAATAATATATAAAATGTTGTTTATCATTAAATCTCCAAATAAGCAATAAAAGTAAATCTGTTAAATGATAAAATTATTCAAATTATAATTCAATAATGGCAAGCAACAAATCTCTCCATAAGATAGAGCCCAATCCTGGCGTTCTTGTTAAAAAATAAATATAGCTTGGCACACAAACACTGTGGAGATATCATTCTTTACTTTCAGTTCTTAAACAATATTATCATTTAGGAATATAACCCGGAGATGGTGAACGTAGTCATTCAATTATGAACATGTCTTTTATTAAAACAAACAAGTCAAGAGGCATTTTACACAATTGGCAGGCAAGAGAAAAATAAGTCAAGAAACATATATCAAAGAGCTAGTTCTAGTATCATCTGCCTTGATAATTTTAAGATCAAAGTGGTAAAATAATAGTGTTTGCTAAGAAACATTTCATTAGCTACTCAAGGCATTTAAATTCACTGCCGTAGAGTTGATTCCGATTCATAGAGATCCCCATTGGGTTTCTAAGGCAGTAAATCTTTATGGAAGCTGATTGCCCTTTCTTCATTCTGTGGAGTGGCTGGTAGGTTTGAACCTCCCATCTTCTGAATAGCAGTCAAATGCCTTAGGCAGTGTGCCACCGGAGCTCCTTATTCAAGGCATTCAGTGCCCATGAACTTCTGTTGCTGTTATGATTGGCACTGACATATGTTTTAGAGTTATATTGTGACTCCAGAAATGCAAGAATGTAAAATCACAAACAAAAAAGGAAAAACTATACAAAAAATTCAGCAGGAAGCTTTTTTTTTTTTAAGTAGAAAGTAGAGCAAAAAGCATACTTTTTAGGATTAAAAACTACAAAAAAAAATCTCATGATGGGGAAAGTAATTTTTCTGTATGTTTGGAACTGACTTCATGTAGAACTAGCTCTTTGACAACCAAAAGATCTCTGTCTTTAAAACCAGCTCAATAAGCTATATTTTAAAAACAGGTTGAAAGATCAGCTATACAAAGTAAGGAGGGTAATGATTTAAGAAGAAAGTCACAGGTCAAACAATTTAGCTACTGTGAGAAAGTTTTGATGATGTGCCAATGTGAAAGGGAAATAGAAAAAAGGTGGAGGAGACTTATTAATATATATGTTTAACATTGGAAGCTGCATGCAAAGGTCAGGTTTTCAGGAAACAGCTACAAGTGATCTATGCAGAAGTCAATCTATCTACTGATCCCCCACTGTATTTTCAGAAGCATGCATATCAAAGGTTTAGAAGCTATATTTGAAAGGTGAAGAAAGAGGGTGTCTGCAGTTAGTCCTACTACCGAGCAAAACCTACCTGGAATGAAATACTGTTCTTTAGCTAAATAAAAAAAGAGAAAAAAAAAAAAAAATAGAAGATGCACCTGAATGTCAGCAAGCAGAGATATGAGTTATATTAGATTAAGAATGGACTAACGGTACTAGATAATTAAGTGAAAAATATCTATTCACAGCGGTGGCTGAGGTCTAACATGGTACAGTAAGTAGTAAATGCGTCTAGAATCCTGGGCAATAAACAGCTTTGTTCCAGTATTAGGATTTTAGTATGAATTAACTGCTGAATGCATACCTGGCATCATTAAGTAGCATACTACTGAAAAATATAGTATGTATTCTACAAGAAAACAGAACACAGTAGACCCAAACAAATAGGACATCTCAATGAAGTCTATTTTCTAATAAACAGTAATACAATGCATGTGTATTTGGTGTGTCATAAATAAATGTAATATTCCCCAGGTTTTGAAAGATGGTCTTTCAGAAAAATGTACCTTCATCGTCCTATTAAGTAAAATGAGAAAGTGGTATTAAGTGTGAGAAGCTAGGGATCAAAAGCTTCTTTTTCTCCCCTCTGCTGCTAAGTCAGAACTGATCCCATAACCACGTCCACTGCCTGAAGGAATGTAAGTGATCGATTACCTTTAAGTTGGTCAATGGAGAATGATAAACAAATATGAAAGGTAACATACTTACAAGGCATTCTGAATTTAGTAATTATCCCTGATTAAATTTGAAGCATGGGAATACAGTTTGAAGTATCCAGACATCTTTTTAACATGGTTAATAGCCTGTTTTCTTCTGCCATTGATACATTGTTAAAATATATATATATAAATATATATATTAAAATATATCTATATATATTGTTTTCTGCTATTGATATATTGTTAAAAAAATGCTAAACATACAAGGGTTATCTGAGTCTTGTCTACAGTTCTTTTGATTTCTCTCTTCATGTGTAGAAGAAAAAGAAATATGATTCTGTAATGCTTGGTAATTCAGTCAAAGGCCAGCTGCTTTGCTAGGTCTCATGTAAAGACTCTTTTGGGGAACACCAGAGAAACATGAAATGAAGTAAAAAATTACCTGAACAACGGAACTTCTTGCTTTTGATCTGGCCAATTCTTTTGTTTGCCAGACGGCGAGGGCTGGTGCAGCGGGCACCGCTGGTCTCTATTGGGTTGGTATGGAGATAATCCGCCAGCCACTTCAGATGACAGTCACAAATAAATGGGTTCTGAGCCAAATGCCTTCCAGAGACACAGAACAATTTTACATGTGACTAGCAATGGACTCAACTTGCAAATCCAGAATGCAAACAAGCATTACCCGACTGGCGCCAAAGCCTGTATACGTACATAGTCTGAATGGCTCGGAGAGGTGAAAAGGTCCCCTTGGCAATGGTCTGAAGCTTGTTGTCATACAAGGAGAGGAGGTTCAAGTTGTGTAGATCCTGAAAAGCATCTACCCGAAGGCAGTTTATCTTGTTGGCATTCAATAATCTGTTCGATCAAATAGTTGCATAATTAAAGTGCAGCTTCTCATGAACTCACCTTCAATGACCTGTCCTTCTTAAGAACACCCAGCAAGAAACACATATCTTTTAACTTCAACACTAGCATTTTAACTTTAATAGTTTAGGAATTACATAATGAAGAACGGGGGTTCTACCAGGTAAAGAATGACTCATGTAGTCAAATATGTGTCCAAAACTGGTGTTACTTATACATTTATTCAATAAACATTACTGAACGTTATTCTCTGCAAGATGCCAAGGGAGCGCACTTGAGAAAGGTGGGGGAGACTCAAAGTCTATTGTTGAGGAGGTGATAAAATACAGAACTCCATCCCTCAAGTTGCTCTATGAAAAAGAAGTTCCATCTACTCTTGAAAGAGCAGAGTGATCCCCTAAAACACAGGTGAGATCACATCACTGCTCTCTCAAAATTAGGTATCAACTCCCAGTTGGCTCTGGGAGTAAAACCCAAGTCCTCACAACAGCCTCTAATGCCCTGTAGGAGCCGTAGCCCATCCTCTGAACACTGTAACCTCCTAGTTCTCCCCTCCTGGTTAAATCAGCCCCAGTTCCTTTGGGGTTTTGTTCTTTTTCATACACACGAGGTTCTCTTCTCCTCTGTCTAGAGTGCCCTTCCTTCAAATATCAGTGTGGGGCTAACTACTCCACTCCCTGGAATCTGTTCCAATCTCACTTCTCAGTGTAGCCTACCCTGACTGAGCGCTGATCTTTGCAAGCAGATCACCAGGCAATTCTTCCTAGTCTGTCTCAGTCTGGAAGTTTTATTCAAACCTGGTCAGCATCATGGCTACACAGAAGCCTCTAGTGATGGATGGTAGCTCAGCATGAGGTTTGGTGGCTGAGAATTGAACTCGGGTCTCCTGCAATGAAGGCGAGAATGCTACCACTGCACCACAAGTGCCCTCATGTCTAGCGTACACTAAACCAAGTCAAATTCACTGCCATTGGGTCAATTCTGGTTCATAGAGATACTCTTTGGGTTTCCAAGGTGGTAAATCTTTATTTAGCAGATTACCCACTCTCTCTTCCATGGAGTAGCTGCTGAATTTGAGCCATCAACCTCTGGTTAGCAGTCAAATGTCTTGGTACTATGCTGCCAGAGACTACACTAAGTGCTTAAAAAGATCTGTTGTGGTTTGAGCGCTAACCAGAGTCTGGTGGTTCAAACTGACCAGCCACTCCTTGGGAGGAAGACAAGGCAATCTACCTCCATAGAGATACCACCTTGGAAACCCAAGGAGGGGTTGCTATGAGTAGAACTGTCTTGACAGCAGTGTTTGGTTTTGTTGTTTTTTGGTATATTTACAGTCCTCTTGGAGAGTGACATGTGGCATTACCATATTAAAGGTTCTAATTCTGCATCTGTTTAACTTGGCTTAACACAGTATCTCATAAACTTGGTTTTCCCATACAATGCCTGTATCAATATTCTGTGGAACTGCTGGTTTACCAGTTGTACTTTGGCAAACATCTTTCTGATAGATTAGACAGGATTGTGTCAAGGTTCATTCATTCTGGCCTCACCTCTGGGACTGCATTTCTCTCCACTTTCCTCAACCTTGTGGATTTTGAAGGCCTCACAGAAGGCCCACCTCTTTGAGAATCTGACTTGCACCTAACTACAGTATTCCTCCCTCTGGGTTCCAAGTCTTGTGACCTGTTTCAGTAAGGTGTATTTGGTTGCCAAAGATAGTTTTGATTCTTAGAGCAGGGATTATTTTTTAATATATGTGTTATTTTCCTATCACCGTGTTTAGTTTTCTGCTCTATGTATTAATGCTTGGGACTTAAACAAATCGTTATCATGGTTATTTGCTGTTGAGTTGACTCCAATTCATGGCAACTGTATGGATCACAAAGAAACGTGGCCCAGTTCTGCGCCATATTCATGATCATTACAATGTTTGGGTCCATTGTTGGGGCTACTGGGCCAAACCATGCTCAAATATATTTGCTACATGGTTTGAGTTTGGGTGTCTTGTAATCTAACCTGCTAAACATGTTTTCCCTTTTGACCACAGAAATCTCTCCCTTTAATTAGTATTTGAGGTGCTTCATTTTTCTTCGTTTGCTTTTCAGGCACTCCATGCACGTAAAAAGCTATGGCATCCTCATGGTGACTCTCTTTGCAGAAGCCTTTCATTTCCCCCTGGAGGATATGAAGCTTATCTTCTCTGTGTTCTACATAATGCTTTCTTAAAAGCCCTAGATAGATGGCTGGGGATAGGAACTGAGAGATTCATACCCCTCCATCTTGGGTCACAACCCATGTGATTCTGACTTTGTTCCCTAATGCATAAGCCAACCGAAGAAAGAAGTGAGAGCAGAGAATTAAGGACAAGGAAAAGGTGGGAAGTCTCAAAGAAACCAAAAGAAGGGGCTTCTGAGTATTTTGTACTTAGTCTAAATTAATTTTGTCCAAATAATAAGAAATGCGTTCTGGTGGTATAGTGGTTAAGACATTGAGATGTTAACTAAAAGGTTAGTAGTTCATATCCACCAGCCATTCCACAAGAGAAAGATGAGGAAGTCTGCTTCTGTAAGGACTTAGTTTTAGAAACCCTATGGGGCAGTTCTACTTTGAGACTTACTACCTTGCCCTTGTCCTGTAGGGTTTCTATACATTGGACCAACTTGATGCCAGTGGGTTTGGGTTTTTGGTTTTCAAGTAGCAGGGAGAATGAATGAATGAATGAAATCGTGCATCTATTTCTTTTGCTCCTTCTATTTAGCTACTTTTCCTCAATACCTCATCTATTTAAGCAGAGCTAAGACATTTAACTTTACCAAGTTCTCTGCTGGCTGTGAAGGGATAACCATTGTTTGAGCCCTGGCAGACTTAAGTATGGGCTTTAATCCAGAGACAGAACATTAGGCTGAGGCACAAAGAAGGCTTTGTAAGTAAGGTTTACCTAGATATAGGTCCTCATGGTTTAACACTATGTCTGTTACTTCAACCAGCCATAATTACATGTGGAAAGGAAAAGAAGGTGGCATTTTAAGTGTTAGTACTAGACAGGGCACTGGTAGTAAAAATGATGGCTGTTAACTGATAAGGAGAGTAATGCTAGGAAAATGTGGAAGAATGACAAGCAGCTAAAAAATAAATGGGCAGTAACTGGTTGTAACATTAAGCTGTATCTGTAATATGTATAGATAGCTATAATGTGAATAGAAACATTCTATTAAAATCAGAAACAATATTTGTTAACTTCATTGCAAGGGTTAAAAAATAATTGGAAACATAAAGAAAACCATCAGATCACAAAAGTTTGTATTCATCTTGACTCACTGGTCAACGTGTTAGATTATGCAGTAAGTATGTACACACACAAATACACAAACACACACATATGGAGAGAGAGATGGACACAGACAAGAGAGAGAGAATGTGACGGATGGAATGGACTGGAATGGAAAAGAATAGAACAGAAACCACTACGTATAGTAAGGTTAAATATTGTTGTAACATTTTGCTAAATGTGTTTGTGAGTGAATTTTTATGTGTGATGAAATGAATTCCTTTATGTGGTCCTTCACATTGGTTCTTTGGAAAAACAACTTGACAGATTTTTCTACGGATCTCTGAGGAACTACTTTTGCCCCAGTTTTTTACTCCAATGCGTTTGTTACTTTTGTCCAGGCTGTCTGACATTTCCTGGCTGAGCTGTAAACCATCTGTGGTTGATACGTTGTGTGGTCATGGGCTGCAGCCTGCCCTGTAATAGGTACACACCTTTCAGGGGTTGGTCAGTAGACTATGCAAAAAAGTATTTGTGGTCTCCTCAGAGGGGATTGGTCAGTTTGTGGCCCTGGTGGAGGGCTATGCCTTGAAACTGATGAGGAGTTTGGATACATAAGCAACCAACCCCACTTAGGTTTTCGAGACAGAAATAAGCAGGAAGAAAACCAACAGGAAGAAACAGAAGGGAGAAGAAAGAAGCAGAGAGAGAGAGAGAAAGGAGGCAAGAAGCCTTCTAAAGGAGCTTTAACATGGGTCAAGTGTTATAACACTGAAGATGGCGATAGGCCTGGGAGGGTCTCAGAAGCACAGCTGATGGTGACAGGTGATAGCAGGGCTGAGAGAAGTCTGTCTTAAGGAGGCCAAGAGGAACCTGTCCTGAGGAGGCTGAGGGGAGGTCCGCACTGTCAAGCGCTGACAGAGGTGTCCTGCAGTGAAGAAGGGAGACTTTGTCTACAGGATTCCTGCTCCTGTCCTGAGCCGAAGCCTGTTTCTTAATAAATTCCTTAATTCTGTCAGTTCTCTGTGGTCACTGCAATGGATCATCAAACCCAGCAGAAAAATAGAGACTGTCATGGGAGGGTCAGCTTTTGTCAGAATTAATAAAATGGATGGAGAGTGGAAGTATGTCTGACCACCTCATTGGAATCAGCTTTGTTCTGATGGTGATTCTCATTATGCCCCATGAACTAAGATAAGGTTCTGATGCTACTATTACTACCACCACCCTTCCACAGTGTGTTTATGTGTGTCTGTGAGTGCATGCAAATTTGTGATGTAAATTATCTGGATAATGGTGAAAAAGTTAAACAGGTGGATAATAGGGCATAATTATGAACTAAAGTTTATTAAATAATAAAAACACTATATTTGAGAAAGTTGTGCAATTAGGAATAAATATTCATCAAATAAAAAATATAAATCCTCAAAGCAATAAATGAACTGAATTTTAAAAGATTCAATTTAATAAATGACTAAAAAGGATGCATTTAATAGGTAAGTAAAATTATAAACTTAAGAATTTTAAGGGAGACCAAACACTAGGTACTTGGGAGAAGAAATTACATCCAATTCATTTTTACCCGCACAGATTCTAGGTCTGTGTGTGCCCCAAATGAGGTTCTCGGTAAACGTTTAGTGAATTGAACAGATTCAGATGACCCAACACTTGCCTTATAAACACGGATAGTACATGTTACTTTAGAGACAAATGAGTTTTAGCTATTTTTTAAGCAAAGCAATCTTTAAAGCTATAATCTAGGGGTTTACAGATCATTCTTCGACTTGAGTAGTTTGAGGACTACTGCTGTATGATGACCTACTGTACATCATCATGTGTTGGGGATGTTATTCTAGCCCTGCCAATCCTCAGAATCTTTTGAAAATGGCTGGTAAACATATCCCCATGTCCCTCCTTTCCAAGTATTGTTAAATCAAAATGGAGATGTTTTGCAAAGGGTAGGAACTGTGCAAGCTTCAAATGATACAACAACCAGAAAGTATACATTCATGAGAGGGTAGAGAATGATTTCAGGATGATTCCAAGGTGCTGTGTCTTCAAAGAAATAACCATAATCAGTGTCAGCTCTGCTGGCTAGTATCTTCTGTTGTATTAAAATAGATTACGTTGGTTGAATTTTTCTGACACCTCCAAGAAAATATAAAATGGAACACTGACTTAAATATAATATTAAGGTTCACAAGATCAGAAACAATCAAATACTTACAGAAGCTGTAAGGAAAATAGTCCTTCAAATAAGCTTTTTGGGAGTTCTGTGATTTTATTTCCATAGAGGACACTGGAAAAAAAATGATAAAAACAAAAAAAATCAGAAACAAAACCAGCATAAATTCATTTAACATATATTTATTCAGGCACATAGTAGGTTAGTAGGCAGTCAGGTCATTATTAAAGTTATAGCTGAATAAACAAACCAGTCAACAAATTTTTCCTGATTACAGATCATAAACCAAAACTCAAACTTGTTGTCATCAAGTCAAATCTGACTCATAGCGACCCCCTTTGGGTTTCCAAGGTGGTAAATCTTTATGAAGTAGATTCTCCAGGCTTCCTTCCATGGAGAGGCTGGTGGGTTTGAACCACAAAACTTCTGGTTACCAGTCAAATGTCTTAGGCACTATGCCACCAGAACTCCTGTTACAGATCATATGCATGCTTATTTTAGAAAATTTGGAAAACACAGAGAAACAAAGATTATTCATTATCATAGCCCCATTTTCATACAAATAACCACTGAACTACTATTAAATTGTCATGTTTTCTATACACACTCACACACACATTTCCCACACAGTTCATATGGGACTTTTTTATGTTCTACATAACATAAGAGGAGAAGTACATAAAAAAAGAGAAGTAATAAATGTAGAATCCACTGCTTAGTAAGGGATAAGCTTTGGTTTCATCATATAAGGGTAATTTTTTTTTTGTCATAAATATATAATGTGTATGCTTGAGAAAACAGAAGATCGGTGAAGATGGTAACTATGGTATGAATTAAGGTGTTTTGAAATGTATGCCCTCTAAAAGATATATGAACACGAAACATCAGAGGTACCAGCTCCTGATCAGCCACTAGATGCAATTTGCGTGCAATAACTATGACTGATATAGATAGATTTGGGTCCCCAAAAATTATGTACTGTAAATCCTAAACGCTTGTACCTGTGGATGTAATCTCATTTGAAAATAGAACTTCTTTTGTTATGTTAATCTTGTCAGTGCGTTAATTTGTTTTTTCATTCAATGATGCGATATCAGTATAAGATGTATTAAGCCACTCATCTTTGAAAGACAAAAAGAGTAGACTAGGAACAGAGAAGGAACCACAAATGAAGAAAGATAGAGGCCACATGGAGATCACCAAGAAACGAAAAAAGAGAAGCTGAAAAAGATAAGAATTTTCTCCCCGACCAGACAGAAAGAGCAATCACCTACAGCTAGCAATCTGAATTTAACTACTAGCCTCCTAAGCTTTGAGAAAATAAATGTTGGTCCGTTGAAGCCACATATTTGTGGTATTTCTGTTATAGTACCAAGCTTTGAGAAAATAAATGTTGGTCCATTGAAGCCACATATTTGTGGTATTTCTGTTATAGTACCACTTAAACTAAAACAATGGCTTAATTACCTCTGCACATCTTGCACCCAGCACAGGTTATGGCAATGCACTTAAGTACTGACATTGGTTTAATAAAGGGACAATTTTTTGAGAGTAAACATATAAATAGGTAAGCAGAGGAACAAGTTAATGAATAAATTAACAAAAAGGATGAAGTGAGGGTAATATTTTAACAGCACATGAATAGAAATTGTTAACTCTTCATGTTAGGTATCAGCCATACATCTACAAAGATTCTTCCATATTTACTGATCCAAAATTTAAGGAATCGGACTAAGAAAAAAAAGTTGTATTTTGGGGAGGGAAGTCTGGCAAAATATATCAAGGGGTCATTATTCCTGCTAGGTGCCATCAAGTTGGTTCCCAGTCATAGTGACCCATGACGAACAGAACAAACAATGTCCGGGCCTGCTCATCCTCATAATCATTGCTGTGTTTGAGTCCATTGTTGCAGCCACTGTGTCAATCCATCTTCTTCAGAATCTTCCTTTTTTTTGTTGACCCTCTCATTTACCAAGCATCATGTCTTTCCACAGGGACTGGTCCCTCTTGATAACATGGCCAAAGAAGTGACATGATGTTTCACCATCTTCACTTCTAATGAGGGTTCTGACGGTACTTCTTCCAAGACAGCTTTTTTCATTTTTCTGGCACGTCATGCTGTATTAAATATTCTTCACCAACACCATATCTCAAATGCATCTATCATTCTTTGCTCTTCCTTATTCATTGTCCAGCTTTCACATGCATATGTTGTTGTTGTTGTTGTTATGTGCCGTGGAGTTGGCCCCGACTCATAGCGACCCCTCCTTGGGTTTCCGAGGCAGTATCACTACGGAAGTAGGATTGCCCAACCCTCCTTCCGAGGAGTGGGTGGTGGGTTTGAACTGCCAGCCGTCTGGTTAGCAGGCAAGTGTCTTAGCCACTATGCTACCAGAGCTCCCTCACATGCATATGAGGCAACTAAAAATATCATGTCTTGGGTCCTGTGCTCAATAATCCTCAAAGTGACATCTTTGTTTATTAATGACATAGAATTTTACAACAGGTTTGCTCAATGCAGTATGTTATTTGATTTCTTGACTGCTACTTCCATTGATTGTGGATCCAAGTGAAAGGAAATCCTTAAACTTCAAACTTTTCTCCATTCATTATGATATTGCTTATTGGTCCAATGGTGGAGATTTTTGTTTTCTTCATGTTGAGCCGTAATTCATCCTGAGGGCTGTAGCCTTTGATCCTTCTCAGTAAGAGCTTCAAATCCTCTTTGCTTTCAGCAAGTAAGGCTGTTTCATCTCCATGCCATAGTAGGTTCTTAATGAGTTTTCCTTTGATCCTGATGCTGTATTAATCTTCACAGAGTCCAGGTTCTCAGATCATTTGCTCAGCATACTGATTGAATAAATATGGTGAAAGGATGAAACCATGATGCACACCCTTCCAGGCTTTACATCAGGCTGCATCTCCTTGTTTTATTCAAACAACTGCCTTTTCGTCTACATACAGCTTCCTCAAGAACACAACTAAGTCTTCTGGAATTCCCATATCTCCTAAAATAGTTGAACATCAACCAACTCTTTGGTGCAGTGACTCTGTGCATTCCTTCTATCTTATTTTAATTCTTCCTGCATTATTACAATTTTTCCCCATAGAATTCTTCAATATTGTAATGTGAGGCTTGAAGTTTTTCTTCAGTTCTTTCACTCTGAGAAATGCCAAGCATGTTCTTCCTTTTAGGTTTTCATTAGAATGACTTACTTTGTCTTCTCAAGCTGCTTTATGAAATCTTCTGTTCAGCTCTTCTGCTTTACCAATTTCTCCATTTGCTTTAGCTCCTCTGCATTCAAGAGCAAGTTTCAGAGTCTCTTCTGACATCCAGTTTTGTCTTTTATTTCTTCAGTTTCTTTTAATGACCTTTTGCTTTCTTCGTATATGAGCATTTGATGATATGTTCTGCAGTGGACTCTTAAGCTTTGTTCTGACTGATGATATTAAGCTTCTCCACCATCTCTTTCAACAAATGTAGTCAATTTGTATATTCCATCTGGCAAAGTCCATGTACATAGTCACTATTTATGTTGTTCATAAAAAGGTTTTTCCAATGAGTAAGTTGTTGGTCTTGAAAAACTCTGTCAAGTTGTCTCTGCCATTGTTTCATTGTTTCTATTACCAAGGCCATATTTTCCAAGTACTTATTCTTTGTTTCTAAGTTTTGCATTCTAATCACCATTAATAATCAGTGCAACTCAGTTGCATGGTTGATCAATTTCCGACTGCAGAAATTGGTAAAATCTCCAATTTATTCATCTTTGGCATTAGTGGTTGTTGTATAAATTTGAATAATAGGTCTATTAATTGTTCTTCCTTATAGGCATATGGATATTGTCAGTGATAGCACTGTAATTCAGGATAGATCTTGAAGTGTTCTTTTTGACAACGAATGCAATGATGTTCCCCTTCAATTTTTCATCCCCAGAATAGTAGGTCATATGATTGTCCCAAGCCCCCTAGAGCTAGGAAAGGGAGGGACCAAGAGAAGCCACAGGGACCTCAGGAGCAGCAGGATATCCAGGTTAAAAGGGGCAGGAGGCAAGGCTAGGCCTCAAGCCCCCTAGAGCCAGATCTGTCCTGAAGTACAGTGCTGTCAGTGACAGGAAAATATACATAAGCCTACAAGGACGATCAGTTACTACAACTATTATTCAAATTTATGCACCAATCACCAAAGCCAAAGATGAGGAAACAAGATTTTTATCAACTTCTGCAGTCTGAAATTGACCAAACATCCGATCAAGATGTGTTAATTATCACTGGTGATTGGAATGCAAAAGTTGGAAACAAAGAATAATCACCGGTAGTTGGAAAATTTGCCCTTGGTGACAGAAATAACGCTGGAGATTGCTAAATACAATTTTGCAAGACAAATACCGTTTTTCAATAACACAAACGGCAGCTATAAAATACATATGGACTTCACCAGACGGAGTACACTGGAATCAGATTGACTACATCTGTCGCAGGAGAAGCTGGAAAAGCTCAGTATCTTCAGCTGAAACCAGGCCAAGAGCCGACTGTAGAACATACCATCAACTGCTCATATGCAAGTCCAACTTGAAGTTAAACATAATTAAAACAAGTTCACGAAAGCCAAAATATGATGTTGAATATATCTGCCCTGGATTTAGAGACCATCTAAAGAATAGATTTGATGCGCTGAAGACCAATGACTGAAAACCAGAAGAATTGTGAGATGACATCAAGAACATCATCCATGAAGAAATCAAGAGGTCATTAAAAAGTGAGAAAAGAAGAAAAGACCAAAATGGATGTCAGAAGAGACTCTGAAACTTGCCCTTGAATGGAGAGTAGCTAAAGCAAAAGGAAGCAATGACAAGATAAAAAAGCTGAACAGAAGATTTCAAAGAGCAGCTCAAACAGACAAAGTCAATTACTATAATGAAATATGCAAAGACCTGGAGTTAGAAAACCAAAAGGGAAGAAAACACTTGGCATTTCTCAAGCTGAAAGAACTGAGGAAAAAATTTAAGCCTCGAGTTGCAATATTGAAAGATTCTATGGTCAAAATATTGAATGATGCCGGAAGTGTCAAAAGAAGATGGAAGATAACCACAGATCCACTGTAGCAAAAAGAACTG